TTAAGGATGTGAATAACACTATTTCCAAGGTCGTGAACTAGTTCAACGTTAATAACTTACTTTTAAACGAGAAAAAAACTAAATGTATTAGGTTTGTCCCCTAGTGTTAAGTAAGACCCCTAATGTTAAGCAGATAAAAACCAGTGTTCTGATAAATGGAAAGGAATTGGATCTTGTGGAGACCACTAAGTTTTTGGGTATAACTCTAGACTCTTAATTATAAAATTCGTCAATTAACCGATGTGGATCAGACAGCTAGACTAGTATATTTTAGCTATTTTCATAGTGTAATGTCATACGGTATTTTATTGTGGTTATATGCTGCTGACATTCAGAGTATCTTTGTGTTGCAAAAGAGAGCTATTCGTTTTAGTTTTTAGATATATTATAATATCAGTTATAGGCAGTCACTGAGGGATAAGTTTAAAGAAATTTGTATTATGACAGTCACATCAGTCATTATGACAGTCAGTGTATGTTAAGAAAAATATTCATTTATTCACAAAGTTTAGCGACATTCATAATATAAACACTAGACATAAAGAAAAACTCGTGTTGCCAACGACTAGACTACAAAAAGTAAAAAAGACTACAAAAAGTAAGCAATCTTTTCGATGTCAGGGTGCGCGATTCTACAATAAAGTGCCAAGCGACTTTCATGAATTAGGTATTACGAATTTAAGTCCTTAGTAAAAAAAAAACTATGTGAAAATGCGTACTCCACGAAAACAGATTATTTAGATGACAAATTTGCTTGGGATTGATGCTGCTCACTCCCACATTTGAAAGTGATAAGCATTAAATTTTTTGTTGTAATTCGTATTTAGTTTTCAATTTGTTTATTTGAAATTGAATTGTATTTTTTGGGTATAGTAGTAAGTATGTAAATGTGAGTATAGTGTAGAGTTGTAATGTTAGTTCATGTGTTAGTAACTTTCTGGTAGTTTTGGGTGTTTCCACGGCCCACTCAAGTGTCCTGTAGTCTGTAGTGTCATGTTCCGGGTTGTTGATCCTGCTGGGCAGGGGCTCGTATGCCGTCTGTATAGATGGGCTGACTCAATACCATGGTCCTTTCTTCAAAAGGCCTGCTACTGCATTCATATAGTTTGTAATTTTTTTAGTTTGTAACATTGTACACGGACTTTAAAAAAATACACCTCTGTGGTTTGTTTCGACGTTTCTTCCATGAGCGAGTCTTATTAAATGCCGGCGCCTTCTGGCTGTAAAGTCCGACTTGTAAAAATATCTGAAAAGATTTATTTGCAGAAATATGTATCATTTGAAGTATCATTTCAGTTTATAAACTTATATCCAAATCACGTTCGTTAATGATATATCAATATTAAAATATAAACTTTATTCATAAAACTTAGTACAATTAGTAGTTTAGATGAGAAATTGTTATGGCAAGTCATACACAATAAACGACCTTATTATCGTCAGTGTAACCAGGTAACCGCATTCTGTCGAAACGAAGTCAGAACTCATTGCTAACCGTCAGTTAATCGTTAAAATTGAAATTGTGAAAATTGAATTAACTCAAAAGGCCTGCGAACTGAGTCTGATGAATCGAACTGGCCCCGACTGGCGTGTTAATTCATTGTTGAATCCTTTACACGACCAATTTAAATTCTGTTGCGTTGTGATGGTTCTGTGGATTTGATTTCGGTAAAACTCTTGTAATGGGAGCGATTCGTTTACTTAATTGCGTGGGTCGACTAGATGGATGATTCGATGACGTGATTGTAAAAATCATTGGTACTGGTAAAATTGATTTCAAAATAGGATTAAGGTAAGAATTAATAAAGTAGAAGTAATCTCGTGTAACCAGCGTAATTATTTACACTAACAAGTTACAATTTCCAGTTTATTTTAAATTTTATAACTAAATACCTAAATTAAATTTTATTTAAATTTGTTGTATGCATATTGTAATAAATCAGAAGCCTATGAAATAAAGAATGAAATAGGTCACTCACCGTCACACGATGTATATATGTTTGTGTTATGTTTTTGTATTTATTAGCACTGCTTTTATAGATTTAGGTTGTGCAACGCATGTTGTTAACATGCGTAGGACCTGGACTCTGAATTTTATACAAGACTCGTAAAACTAATTAACAGAGTTAGATGTTGGGTGTTTTTTTCTAGTACATAGGGTCTAAAAAGTTTATCTTGAGGGTATCAGTAGCTGTCTTGTGTTTGGAATGCAATTTATTTACATGGAGATACAAACTTCAATTTAAAGGCAGTAGATTTGAAACTGCGTCTCGTCCTCGACGAGGTTGGTTACTTCACCCTTTAATAGTAGGCTCTTATCAGCTATCCTCAAAGTATATTTGTAAGTTTTTTTTTTATGTAACTTATTACAAACAAGCGACAATTGGTTACTCTAAACGAAATATTAAATTTCAATCTCAAAAGATGTCAGTATGTCTAAAATGACTCCGTAATTATAATACATAACTCAATTACTTATATATATATGTAAATGTTTAACATTATTATACCTCGACCTCACCAAGGTGACCGCGTGTATCTTTGTCCCACCGCATAAACCCCCAAAACTTTGCCCGTTCACTACATCATAGGCATAACAAACACATTCTTACTTCAAAACCACTCTTGGTACTAAAATTTTCTCTCAAAACACAGTTACATACTTTGTTAATTGTGTGTAAGCCGATTTTAAAGTTGAAAAGCCTTTTCACCATGTAAAGAGCATTTAAAATTATTTAGCGACATTCCTCTACATACAAAATTTACAAGACTCGTAAACTTCACACTGTGTACAAGAAATGAAGCAAGAATCGTATTATAACGGTTGGATGTCATAAAAATGTCTATCTTAAAGTTCACTGTTCATTAATGGCGGTTCTCAGTGGCCGATAAAAGGGCTCGAACTGTAAGCTGCTTTACTGAGCCCCTCATTACGTTTTTTATTCGTCCGTAAATATGAATACTTTTTGTTTCGTCAGACTAAACAGAGTTGTGAATAATGAGATTTGCGTTTAGTTATTTAAGATTAACGAGATGTGAGAATTTGAATAGACGTCGTTTTAATTGGATGTCGAGAAAAACGTCTGCTAAAAGCTGCCAGACGCCATTTTTTTTAAATTTTGAATTTGAATGTAGTGATGCCACTGAATAAGCACTTAAAAATTGTAGGAATGTGAAGCCTGGGTAGCGCATGAACTTTCTATAATTTAATTCTAATAACTAATAACTTAATCTATAATTTCTATAAATTAGCCAACCGACCTTCACAATACGTTCAACTATTCGCATTGTTACGGTTCTGTTGTACGGGTGTCCCTGAGCAACGATAGCCATGGAAACATTAGTAATTGAGTTTTTCTTTTCGGTTCTAAATCAAACATTTGTCTGATCTGGAGACCAGTTACGTAGGTAGATAATGCGACACATAGAAACATTTTGAATGTTTTTTTTTAATAAATCTCTGTGGGAGACTTTCTAGTCTTTGACCAGACCAGATCTTGAATAGCACTCTGAACATGTATGAAACCGATGATCTTACGAATGCTTTGCAGTTTATGGTGAAATCCAAAACATGCAAACTACCTTATAATGTAGTTATTGTTGCACGAGACATACAGGTTGTTTTTAGGAACTGGTAACATTTAGAGCTAACCCCTGAAGTTTGAGGGCCTAAATTTAAACATTTAATGTGAAAGAAAAATGGACAAATGAAATCGGCAAGTTTATAAACAAATCTAATAAGACTTATAATACTAATTAGTAAAATAAGTTTAAAATGACTGTACCTTTGTAACGTAACGTGCGGCCAGCGGGCGTCGGGCACCGGCGACATTTTGAGCATATAAATTTTGAACAACATTGTGATTTAATTCAGCGAGCTTTCAATTAACTACTTATAAAAACATGTTTGTACAAATTATGTATGTTTTAGTAACTTTAATATTTTTTTCCAATATGTAATAGTAAAAATAGAAACTTGAAAAGATTTTTGTTGTCTTCAACAGTTTATGATTTATTTCTCTTGTTACAATTTTCATTTAAAAAGTGAAATGTCAGATGTCAGATCATCTGTAATGTTCGCTCGATTTTTACATTTGATTAACTAAAACATTATGTAAGTATATAGAAGTAGTATGAATTATTTTCATATATTATAATCCAGTAAAAAATAAAATAGAATAATTTACGTTAGAGTCCACGAGAATAAAACCATAAAGATCTATTTAATAATTTCCATTGCAAATGTTGACCATAGACAACAGTGTACGAAGTAAGCGTTAATGAGATGCTAATGATATTGTTTCACTCAACTCTCTTCAAGGAAAATCGTGAAGATTTAATAAGGAAATAAAACAACGCAATCAATTTCATCATTATAACTTTATTCGCTAAGAAAAAATTAGCCGAGTCGTCGGGATCGATCAGGACTTTTTTGTGTTTTTCATATTTGCTTCGTAAAAAATATATTATTTGTATTATCGTAAAACGTTGGGCTCGCGTAAGTCGTTGGGCAAGGTCAGACAGATATTAATATAAAATGCTATAAAAACTAGTTTCAAATTTCGCTTTGTATCCAATGTAAGCTGAAAATTCACATAAGTAAGTCGTTGAAGTACATTCGTAAGACATTTTCTTTAAACTTTTATGAACACTTCCCTTACATTAACTGATATTTGTGTAATATGTGTTATGTTATAAAACTATATTTTTGTAAGTTAACAGGCCTCACTAAATGTACAACGTGTTCTACACTATTAACTATTCATTATTAACACAAATGAAGTAAAATTATAGGAATAAATAAAATAAAAATAGTTGACAGTTACTCGAAAACAGAGATAGAAGACATATTTACAATACAATCTAGAAATGATACAAGTACTCAGTCAATATGTTGAAAAGAGATAGTCCCGTTTATAGAAAGAGAAGTAAAATAAGTAGATAGAGAAAACTTGACTTAAATGAATTTTCACTACATTGTTGAGTAAGAGGTTCATAGCCTAAGCTTCAGTTTGTGGAACTTGTGACTGTCCGGTGGCTACACTCGTGGTGGTGGACACTGAGTCGGGGTCTTGTTCCCGGACACCCATCCAGGGAAGACGTTTCTGGAGCTCGGCCCTGTTAATTTAGAGGGAATGTAGTAAAATGTAATTTAACCTTCTTAGTTGAGCAGAATTATATATATACATATATACTTGTCTTGTTCTATATATGCATTAAAATAATAAATTGAAATCTGTAGAGCGGTTTTAGTATAAAGAAATATTAACTTTTAATTTTTTTTCATGTGCAGTTTTTCTTTATTTCTTCATCACAATTTTCACATTGTTATATTATTAATATTGAATACAATTCGTTATAGTCGTAGAATAGTGTCGGATCTGACATTTTTTGAACTTCGCAGGGTAGCCATTTCAAATAATTACATTATTTTTGTGACATAACTTTTTTAATTCAGAACTGTTTTTCGTATTTTTTTTCAAAACCGACATTATTCTATTATCATGACGAATTATAATATACATATATAGTAACTCAAAAATATATGCTTACTTACCACATATTATACTTATACTAATTACCACATAACAAAATTATAACCCACGTTTCAGCTAAAATATTTCTTCATAGTGTAAGTAAAACAAATAAATTACTTCAGTTAATTATAATTTAAAGTAGCGGATTTTTGAATATTTACTTATGATAATTTTAAATACTGACCTGTATCTAGGATGGTTGATCGCATATACCCAGGGGTCTATACAGGAGACTATCTTAGCGGAGACAGCTGGCACCATTGTAGCGACTGGAGTCAGAAGATTCCTGTGAAAAAGGCACACCTATTGCAGTCATCTAGTTTTTATTCCGTGTTTAAAAGCTGTAGAATTTTAAATTCCGATTTCACACTCTCATTCAATTTTCTATAACAAAGGGGTTTTAAATTTTAAACACATTCAAAATTTCCATCTCCATCACTAGGATAATTGACACTCCACCATTGTGCGCTTTTCACAAAACTTTTTGTCTCGCATAACCAACCTGTTAAACGAATTATCTCCTGTGATATTTCCGGAAAAATATGACCCTTCATGAAAAGAGTGTACTACTATTTCGAAGGCCGACAAAGCGCTTTTAAATCGGCGGCTTTACTCACTTCCCAGAAATGACCAGCTTGCTCGTTTTGCCTCTATGTAAAAAAATACAGAAATGTAGAAAGAATTTGACACTTACCTGTCGCCAAAAGCACCCGTCATGGTAACGAACGCATACGGCGTCCATGAACAGACGAAGAGGAAGAATATCGTGAAGGCAACTTTGGCTATTCTAATCTCAACGCTGCGGCCCGCATCCTCCTTATTAGACGCTAACGACTTGACGTTCATTTTCTTGGCTTGATCATGCAGCATGCGTTCGTGAAGGCGTACCTGATTGATTAAGAACAGTTTTCTAAGCTGCTACAGGAATAAACTTCTATGGGAAAATCGCCGATATTAGATAAGAAAATAATGTGGTGATTGGTTTAGAAAATAATCATTTTTCATTATGAAGATTAGTTTAGAAGTCTAAGCATTTTACGTATACGTAGACGTTACGTATTAAGGCATGATGGAAATGTTTTATTTTTATTTGTGATATAAATTTTAAGTAGGTATAGTTCTGTATGTATATATTTGTTGGTATGTATAAATATATGTTAACAGATCTATTTCTTAGCATTCCACACATTCACCGTGCGGTTGCCGGGTCCATCGCGTGATAGAGGGGGGCTTTGGCCTTTGACAGCGCCTGGGACTTGCGACCCAGGTATAGGTTTAAGGAGTACTCCACACTCACATCCAAACCACTCCCTCTATCTAACCATATTTGATACGAGCCTAGCAATGCCGCTATGGATATTCGTTAAAAAAAAGAGCCTACTGAAGCACTTGGGAATCCAAGGTCTGCCAACCGAGCAGGTTCTAGAAGGATTTAGCTGGTATACCCCTCGCACCCATTTCCACGGCATACAACGCAACGACATTTTTTTTTAGTTATTTCGTTGGTTAAGTCAAAGTACTTGTTTCAGAAAGATTTTGTTATCTCTTTGTCGGTCTGTCTTCTAGAATTTCCCAATCCAACTCTACTGGACTGCGTACCCACCATGAATTTCTTGTGGAATTGGCGCCGTAACTCGAGCTGAATGATGATGATGAATTTTTGTCGTTTGGAAGGGATCTATCGATTTCGTCTTGTGATTTTACAAGACATGCATTTTGGTAACTCTGAGGTGTTTGTAGAATTCCGAAGGTCTTTTTAATTTCATTACAAAGTTATTCAAACCCCTGTTCAACGTTGACATTTTTGCAGATGTTGCTAGCCCGAGCCACGAATTCAATGTCTTTTGCGTCCAGTGTTCTTAAGTGATTCTGGTTTGTATCATATACCAGAAACGGCCAGTTGAGACGTGATGTTAAGTAGTTGTCGTAAATTCAAGCTTTTTTTACGTTGATTATTGGCTGTTGGTCTACCTCGTCAATGTCTTTTACGAAGTCATCGACTATTGTGTTCATAGATGGAGTACGACCTTTGTAGTCTATCTTTCTTCCAAAGAATTTAACTACTAATAGTAATCCCGGGTTTATTTGAGGTATATCTGGTACCTCGCCAGCCCAGACAAAGGCAACAGAATTTTATAGGTTTTGTCCTCATTCACTCCGTTCAGGTACAGAAGTCATCCACCTTACGTAGTAGTTCTTGGCACTGCTTCGGGTTACGTGTAAGGATCTTGAGGTCGTCTGCGAATGCTAAGATGGATTCCGTATATTTTCCATTGACCTCAAACCGGTAGCCCCACCTCTTTTCGTGTGTTGCGTTAATATCTATTAACTATTGTAACTGTATTAAATACTATTGGTGATAAGCAGCAACCTTGGAATAACCCTATTCTGTATTCGAGGGTTTTGTACGTCCCTCTTTTGCTGGCTCATGTCATTTCAAGGAAAATGACATGAGCTCGTGTCGTACTGAGCCAAAGGCGTTTTCTAAATCTATTCAACAGACTGTTATTTCGCTTTCGTTTTTCCTAGCATCTTTGAGCCTTTCCGCAAGTAATGAGTTATGTTCCAGACATCCAGAGATTCCGGCATGAAATGGTAATTTCCTCTGAAGTAATTATTGTTAGACAGAAACTGTATTATTTTTAATTAAGGACAGGAGAAAAATATTTTAGAAATTGTATTGGTAAGGGCTTACAAAACGGTATATAAACATTTGGGTGGATCTGTTTCTCCACATGTCTCTCTAGAAAGGGAAAATTAAACACCTATGATGCTCATCCGATTACAAGGTCAGAGAGCATGAATTTGAGCTTATCACGAGGGCGAAGGGCGTACTTTCAGTATCGTATATCGTGATGGGTTGTCTAATATAGTGTCTAAAGTAGGCGTCAGTTACCGAGAGTCCGCACCCGTCGTTATTTCCGTTTCGATAAAGCGATTTCTAAATTCTCCCTCTCTATATGCTCTCTTTCGAAAAAGCATTATGAGCTTATGAATATACGTAGTGATATTAAATAATTCTAGCATAGGTCTCTATCACTTTCGAAGGTGACGAAATGAAAATTTCAAATTACTGTAGGTTCTGTACGTACGGTACTGTCGTTACATCGTTATAACTATATACAGCATTCAGACTGAATTGTTCGTGAAATATTCTAATTCTTCGTGACTAATAAAACTGAAAATCTCGATGCGACCTCTCTTTCTTACAATCATAACCGCCATTTTTTTAAATTTTGATTTGTTTTAGTCGTCAAAATGGCTTACGGCCAGTTTATTTAATAACGTAACTGTCACTGTCACTATAACTTATTTTAAACCGAAGTTGTAATCTAAACACAAAGACTGATTATTAAAGGACAAAAGGAGAACAGTTAAACTTTGCTACCTAAATTTCAATTGTATTTCTACTTGTGTATTCATAATAAATTTAACAAAATTTACACATTATTATAAATTCTGTCCAATGTTACATGTAATTCTATTCGTTTTATTCCTCACGGCGGCTATCCTCAGTAAACGATAGTATGTGGAGGTCCCATAGATGATTTTCGTTAATTTGAAATAAATTATATCGCTACGAAAACTATATAAAAGTGTATGAGGGCCATTTTAAGAACACACTTGTTTTAATTATTAGGATCTTAACTTTCTTTTGAAATGAGTCCAGTTACGAGATGAGATATGTGCACGAATTTTGGTTTATACGTCATGGTGACCATTAAAAAGTCATATGACAAAGGCTGAACTGTGAACCATTTTTTAGGGTCTGTAAAATCTGCCAACCTATCCTGTAACCTATATTGAAAATGTGATGTGGGTTAGGGTTTTTTTTTTTTGTTATACTTCACTTTCTTTTTATTTCATCTTTTAATTAATCTTGTTTTCTTTTCAATGTCTATTTACCATTTAGTCCTTAATAACAGACATACTGGATACTGGCACACATCGAAACAATGTTGTGGTATAATAGGTCTTTACCTATGAAATTGCCGTTTTGTATGCAATAAGTGAAAGTACTTATTTTTTCAAACTTTTTTATTTCTGTTATTCGAAATTCGGTGGTAGATCGGCACAGGCATATAATAGATTTTCAATACGTATATTTTAGTTTGTTAAATATTTGACAAATCAGAGATTGTTACTATTATGTGTATTGAACTATGGCTTTGGAGTCTATATAAGAGACGATATAATATTTTTTTTATGAAATAAAGATATTTTGAGTTTGAGTATCGTAAGTCTATAGCATGGAAAAAAGGAAGCTTTTCTGGACTCAACTTTTACACCACCAGTTTCTTGATTAATATCACAGAGGTAATTATTTATTCAATGTCTGTGTGCTATATACTATGTTTAACGAATAAAAGCCCCTGATTTTGCCAGCCAACATTTTCTATGTCTATACTCATAATAGTCCCAACCAAGAATCGTTGCCTTCTTTATAACATTCCTATGGCCATTCCGCAGTCGGCCCTACATGGGAATTTGTGCATTCGTTCAAATACAAATAATGCCTCTTTCCGCATCCAAAGGAAAACTTCACAATTTGCCGCTTAAATTGTTCCTCAAAGAATTCTTGGATCAAAAGCTTCAGAATAATTCTCATTTATTGTTTAAGTTTCTGTTTCAAGTAAACGAATTTGCAATTTTCAAATTCTTTACGGTTTAAATAATATATAGCTACTGCAATCTGGCTGTTTGATTTTAAATACTACTGAGTTAATTCCTTTTCCATTTACCATTACCTCAAAGTGTAACACATATGCCCACTGCAAATTTGCTTATTCGTCTTATATTTTTATCGTCTCATATTTAAGACGATTAAAGAATATTCGAGAACCAAGGTATATGGACTTTCAAGGTATATGGAATTTGGAGAAAGAAAATATATAAAAAGTGCAGCAATAAGTCATTTTATTATACGCATCTATTGTCAAACTAAAGTCACGAATCACGTATTTACGAGGTTGAGTATACGTTCATATCGCAGTCCCCGACGAACACTATGGTAATCGCTATTACGATAGAATCGGGTTTATTAGATATTCGTTATCTACACACCCTATTACAATCATTGAATTTTTTTTATGATCGGGCGATGAATACTTTTGGATTTATCCATTCAATAATGATCTTTATGTTTTTGTTCAACGTATAACATAAGTGAAAAATTTACACGATCAATAACGCAAAAACCTATTACCAAATCTCAAAAGTCAACATTTTAGAGTAAGCGGCTATTACCATATTGTTCGAGGGAAAAATGACAGAATCAGAATCAGAATTTATACATAGGTACCGAAATGGTTATAACACCTAAAAATAATCATCGAATAAGCATGTAATTTATGTTTACCGTAATATTAAAGTCAGTTATATCATCGAATTGCAATGCAATTTCATTTTACGAATATAAAGTATATTCATATTTACCATGGAACAATATCATAATGAACGATTACTACAGCAACACCGATTTGTGATTACAGTCGAACACTATCGTAAAGTTAGTTTGCGTTAATTTTTTCCATAGCTTATTTCAGTAATGGACATTTTCACAATTTTCTTACTGATAAAGAAAATTTATGATAAAAATTTAGTAAAAATCTAGTGCAAAAAAATATTTCCTTATTTTTGATAAAAGAATCTTCTTTTTAGTCTTGATAGTATTCAAGATATTCAGTTTTTATTTGCTCCTGTAAAATTGTTATTTTCCTATTACGATTTTGTTCGTCGGGGACTGCGATATAATACCTTCTTTTTCTTGAAAACTTAAACTGTATACTACATCTTGGGTAATCAGAAGATTACATGGATAAACAAAATATTACCTGAAAGTCACAAGAAAGTTGGGAAATATAAATCAATAATAATGATAATATTTTCGGACATCTGACACACAACGCCGACTAGTTTCAAACTAAGTTGTTCAGGGAAGCTAGGGCAGCCTGTGACTTTTTAAGACATACTCGAAAACCAAAACTTAACCTCCTGTGGCGACTTCCACATAGAATTAAACGAAGAAACACACTACAGCGCCATCTATCAAAGACACACCGAACTAAGGAGTAAGTGCTAATCCTGTATCGCGATATGAGCAATTCCCTCACGGATTAGCATATATACAACTTCCCAACATCAACCGCTGGGCCGCGCCCCGCCAGGCATTATCACCTCGCTTGGTCGGAGGATCCTCCTTTTGTGTTGGAGGGACAAAACATCCGTTCTTCCACACTCCCTCTGATTTTAGGGGAGGACTAAAAGGGCGGTGATACACTTGTGACTTTTGAGTTACAGGTGTCTATGAGCGGCGGTAGTTCCTTACCATCAGGTGAAGTGTATGCTAATTTGCGCTTTTATACTATTAAAAGTGAATTCTCGTTCTTGGACAATACACGTGGACAATACAATTAAAATATAAAAATAGTAACATATGATAATGAATAAGTAAACCTTTATGGCGTGATCAAAAATCTTTAACCTGGCATTTAGTGAAAGGCGTTGTTGAAAAGGGTTTTAAAAAAGCTGATAATTCGGAGTCTGACTGTTCAGTTTTTCGTTCGAAGTAAAATATCCCGCTTTCGTGAGACTGAAATTGAAAATTCACAAATGTTTGTGTAATAATTACTAAAATAAAATAAGCTCCAAAATGTCTGATTAAACAATTAAAAACAAAACAAGTGAAAATTGAAACTGACCTGAGAATTAAAAATATGTTGTTTAGAAAACTGCTGATCTTGAAACTGACATTAAGAAAAAAACGAGTGTGCTTTAGACCACACGACTGAAGTTAATCTTCTCTGCTATGAGAGAAAGAGAGAAAGAAAATGTGTGCTCGCACCTCTCTCTCTTAACTCTACAGTAATGTACGAAACGTTACTCTCTCACTTTCTATCTTCACTAACTTGTATCTCCCTCTCAACTTCCATTCGCCTCGCCCGATCACACTTTTTGTAACGCTGTCTTCACGCATTCAGCTTACTCCCCAAGTCAAGCGTGCGTAAAGAAGTTTCACTTTCAATTTTTTTTATAATTTTTTATTTTTTTTATTTTAAGTTTAATTAATTCTTTCTCGGATATACATATAACTTTCCGTAACGTTCAGTATAGGTATTTAGTAATACTTGACTTGAACTTGACACAATCAATATACCAACCTGTCTAGCCAGCATGGTATAGTAAGCCAAAACCTTCTTTATAAGGAGAAGTCTATGTAACGCAGTGGATAAAATCACGCTATTAACGGCTGTGGATGTAGATGATGCAGATTTAGTAATATACAAGTATATTTATCAGCATGTTGGTTACCATAGTACACGCTCTGCCTAGTTTGGGATCACATCGGATAAATTTTCTTTTTTATCATTGATTTTTTTAACAATGTTCCCACGAACGGATCCACGTTGAAATGAAATTAATATTAATTAAAATATTTATCGTAACGTTGTCAACTAACGGATAAAAAAATTATAGTGTATAATATAGTGGGGTGCTTTTTACTATTGACAATAGGCACCCAACGCTTTTTCAAATTTATTTTCTATTTTTTAGTTTGGTTTTCTATAGAAAGCGTGTTTTTTAGTTTTTTTAAACTATTTTTTTTTTAATTAGTATATTGTCATTGGTCCTCGATATATCTACAAAGTTTGAACTATTCTGACCGTTTAAAGTCAGTCAAAATCACGCCCAAAGGAGTCGGTTACAAACATACAAACAAACATACAAGTGAAGCTGATATAAAGCGCGTAAAAAAGAAAATGGAGGTTATCAATTTTATTCGTGGAACGGTAATTCTATCCGACTATCAAGTGGCCGTGTGTGGTCGTGTGTCTCAAGTTATTATTAATATTTTTGGGTTACAAGTATTTTTGAAGGTGCTACCCATCTGACAGGGAGCAGGTACCGCTGTCCTTAAATAAAAAATCATATTTATATTAGGTACTGTAATTATTCGATTTTATTTAAAAAATGGGATACTTTTCTTGTTTAAAATTATAGTTTTAAACATAAAAAAACATTCACAAATACACACAAACCTTTAAAAACGTTTTTTTGTTCTGTTAATAACTATTCGATTGATTTATATTCAAATTTGGAATGTATAGTGCTGTGCCACGACAGATCGTAAAATGAAAATTGAAATTAAATTTCGCTTGTTCTGGTTTGCTCGGAAGCTCGTTCATCGCCAAGTTTATCCCGAAACAATTCGAGGTGATAAAGTTCCCCAACAATGTTCGCTCGATGCGCCAGCGGAACTTCAGTGATTCGACATTTTTTGTCTCAGTTTAAGATTTGTTCTGAGTCGAGATACGAATGATAAATCCTGTTATTGTCCCTAACTTTTAAATTGATTGTATTTTGGTTACGGAAATCAGATATTTTTTTGTTTAAAAAAGGAAACAAAGGTGACAATGCGGATTGATACCCTTTGCCCTGGTATATAATTGGTTCTTGGTTAGAGTAATTATAATCAGTATTAGAAAATATAATAAAAATTGGGATAATGTTAATATTTTTAGTAGATGATCTATAAATATATATGTTGAGAGAGACGCTTGACAAGCGAATAATATGTTAAAATCAAAAAAATACTGTTCTGATAACACTAACACTTACTTTTGTAACTCAAACAAATACTCTATAGTTTGTGCATCATTGCATCACAGGGTGTACCTAACTACATTACAAAAACATTGAGCATTCTGCTTTAAACTGAATTTATTGCCAGAGAGTAGTTCTTTTTTTAAACATTCTTTTTCTTTTTAATACATTTTTTAATTCAGACCATAAATTATATAATTAATGATTATATTATGTGTCGATGTGACGTGTTCCGTAGATTTAATAAGCTGTTATATTCCATGCTCTGTTTATGCTCTGTTATATTCCACAAATAATATTAAATACAGAAGGCTTGCAAACAATTGAAAGAGAATCGAGTTAGATGGCATTCGCAATAATCATGGGAAGCATTAGGGTCGAGGCGAATTTAATAGGTCGGAAAAACCTTTTGGGCTTTGTGAGTGAACACGGAATGGGATTGATAAGTTTTGAACGATTTATTTAAAGAAGTGTTATTTTGGAATTGTTTTCTACAAAAATACCTACTTTTCCTCTTTTTGCAGAAAGAGTTTGTAATAGATAACGGAATCGGATCAGATCAGGCAGTGCATATTTTAAATTATAGTGCCCCGGACAGTTGAACTAAAGTCAATACTTTAAGGTCCTCAATGGTTGTAATAATGATAAAACTAAACTTAAGGAAACTTAATAAAATATTACCTACATCCAAAATAATTTGACTATCTTATTGGAAATTATTTTTATAGTTGGATAGTACCTAACATGAGTAAAAAAGTATTTAAAAAGAAAGAGAAAGAAACGTGCACTTATTATATATCTTGACTTTATCTCTTATATATCTTGACTATATCTCATCAAGTTATACAAACACACCACCAGATGTCGGCAGCGTTCAAACTAGCTCGCTTTGTTAGCGAAGCGGTTTGGCGCGCTTACAGTTACTTGCCGCCAAACTTAACTAATTACACGAGATTTAACCTTGAAACGACATAGAGTTTGTCCAAAATTACTCCGGCCGGGTTGAAAATTAACATAATTATGTGAATATGTGCTGGAGTTTGAAGCAATCTGTTTCTCTTGGGAGGCTAACGACGAATTTGGAGCGTTTTGGAAGGTGAGCTCATTTTCTTGATATTCATTTTTACTTTCGTAATTGAAAGGGTGAGAATTGTGGGAGTGTTCAAGTTTTATGTACAATATTTTGAAAAGATTGTTATTATTTTTCTCATTTGAATAAGTTCCATCATCTGTTTATCATGGGGCAAACGGGTCACCTGATGAAAAGCAATTACCCATTATCCAAGTTCAAGAACGATGGCGGCAGGTTGCGCCCGGTATTAGTCCGAACAATTCCTCGGAGCACTCTCCATGATAAATACGATAGAGAATGCAGAGCAAAGCTACATCTCTACGTAACGCCAAAGGATCGAGCCGGTCGCAAATTTTTTGGCTATCGACGATTCGAGTCGCTCTTCTTTTGATACGGTCCAGAGGGAGAAGCTGGTACTGTGGTGCCCCTGTATAGAGATGAGAACAGTATTCCATATGCGGTCGGGCTTGCGCCTTATAGAGTTGTAGGCGATGGGCTGGAGTGAAATACTGCCTCGATCTGTTCAGCACGCCGAGCTTCTTCGAGGCCAATTTGACCTTACGCTCTAAATGACCGCGAAACTGGACTTCGCTCGCATAATTGCTGAAAATAAGGCCGGCAACGCGTTTGTGGCTCCTGAGTTGCAAGGCGTTCATGGGCGGCGGTAGTCACTTTTCATCAGGTGGCCCATCTGTTCGTCTGCCTCCTCTTCCACAAAAGAAAAATATAAAGTAAAAAAATAACTATATTTTTTTGGTTCTTCGACTGAAACGTAGACGGTTCATAAGATTCGGTCTTCATTTAACTGCTGTTATGCGATCGTATTAAGGCTTTCGGATAAGTATTTATATATACCTACCTTATATACCTAGGTATATGCACTTAACTTATTCATAATTAAATATTAAAATTATTTCCATAAAAAGTAGGTATACATGTATTTATATCAGTTGTCTAGTACCCATAGTACAAGCTCTGCTTAGTTTGGGACAAGATGGCGTTGTGTGAATGTGGTAGAATATTATTATTATTATATTATTATAATTTGTTTTTTCCGTACAATTAAGGTATACTTACAGCACCAAAAAGCTGAGAGTAGAAATAGCAAATGAGCGTCATGGGAATGCAGTAACTCCATGCAAAGATGCAAGCCACAAACACCTTCGTATCTTGATCGTCAGTGAAATAGTCGAATGAGCAAGTTGTTAGGAAGCCCTCTGAAAAGAAAGATTATATTTAATGGTATTTTTTCTACTGCTAAGATGTATATCCTCAAATAAAGAATCTTACTGCTGATCTTGTTAATTATCCAAATTTCCGAATAATTATTGACTAATGAGGTTTGTTAAATAAAAAATTTGGGTCTTGACCTTATATCTAATAGTTTCTTACTAAAAATATGAGGATCTTTTAAACCAATGATAACGCTTCGTGTTGTTACGATGTAAAGCATTAAATAGATTAACTTTAGAAAAAGTGTCTGAATTTTCACTACTGTACACACACACACACACATACACTACTGTACAATGTAACACTATAGACATACAAGAGGTAGTTCCGCCACCAACGCACATAACGTGAGGGTCCTAATTAGGACCACAAAAAGCGCGCGCACGTACTAATTAATTCGAAAAAAATCATAAAATGCCTTGTACGCTGTACTGATAACAAATAGCTGTCTCTTTCACTCTTATGCCTTCCCTTTTTCCTATCGGACTTGTATCGTATGATTTGTTCTAAAATGCATTAATAGAATGAATGAATATAATATATTTTCCTTAAAATGTCATTGTTACTGTATCATCATTAGCCTATCGCCGTCCACTGCTGAACAAAGCCCTCCCCTAAGGAGCGCCATCTTTTGTATACCCTTTAATAATATGCATATGAAATGAAGATTGCCTTAATATCATAACAGTCACAGACAAAATTAAGTGAGATTATAGAAAACATACTACTACTGTTAGTATGTTTCCTATAATTACACTATTGTGACCAGATGCGTCTAGAAGATAATTTTATTGAAAAAAAAACTTCAAACAATTCTCAGCAAAATATATTTATTCATCCAAGAAGTCGATATTATTTATTTACGGGATATTCTCAAAGATTGAACAACTGCAACCAAGTACAATGTGTGAACGAAATAGTCAATAAATAAAGTAAAAATGTAGGTACAGACATCTGTTCATGAAAACCAAAGCCATTGAACGCTAGTGATACGTGTGCATGTTTCTCTTCAATCCACATTTTATTGGATCGTGTGTACCACGTTCTACGAATTTCCCGATAAAAGTATTGTAATCGGTTACGTGTAATGATTGAGAATCTGTTCTTATTTATGATTATTTTACTAACCACGGATATTTTTAAGATAATTCAAGAAGGGTGAGGCATATTAAGGACTAATATTCTTGTTGAAACTTTTTCTTTTTTCTAGCGTTTCATTTTCGACCTATTCTCTTCCTTTTAATATTAATTATTTTCTTTAACTTCGTTTGCGTTACAGATATCACATCTGACTGAGGGTCTTGTGTAGTTCGTGAACAAGGCTAAATCATCAAGAGTGGCGTTAACCGAAGTAAAGTCGTCACGCACGGAACAGTATCATAACATTCCCAAGGAGGGTAAGCGTTAGGCAGGCAACCATTTGAAGACGGAAAGCTGTTTTTTTTGTGTATGCAGAATTCGAACTAAAAATCGGAGAACTTTAAGTAATGTATGCTGCTCTAGCGGCAAGCTAAAGACTGGGACGTTTTGTAGGGCCTCTTCAGACCCACTGGGGGGAAAAATAGCCTAAGTTACTCTTAGGCTATTCCTCCTCTCAGAAAAACCCTTTAAAATTTTGACCGGTCCGGGCATCGAACCAACTAAGGCAGCGCTTTTCAAGTTCCACTCGAACGTAATAAGGCTGTTCCGTAAGTTTTTCGTCTTGGAAGCACCGGTTATACTAGGTCAAATATAAACTTACCATAATGAAATTTGTAGTTTAGAATTTATTACTGGCTAAGTTTTGTTGGATGAAAGCGACTAGTATTATTTACAGAGATTTGAAAACTATGTAGAATTATAAGTTAAAATTAAAACTATTATTGCACTTATAAAGAAAGTAATGGGTGTGTTCCAGCCGGCCCTCGTTCTAAGGCTAATAAAATTTAAAGTCGATTACTCATCAATTATAGTGAATGTTTGCAAGACAATGGCACAATCTCCTGCTTTCAACGGAAGAGCGCAATTTGACGCACAATTGGTGCCCTTAATCAGACAGTTAACTGGTATTGTGCTTGACACTTGTACCTATAGCCTACCATTGTGTATACAGGAGTATTGAAGACGTGTAATAATTTGGGATACAAATTAATAGCTGGGAATGAATTGCCTGAAATCGAGGTTATAGGATTGAAATATAACATAGCTTGATTTGCAAATGCATTTTGTCATAAATATCTATACTAATATGTAAAACAGATGCTAAAAGTTCTAGTCCAATATTTGGGTCTGGAAATTTTTGCATTACATAGCCCAGTTTCTGAGACTGGAGACGCGTGAAACTTCGGGTAACTTCTGGTACTATTATGAAGACGCAAAGTATCTAGTCAAAACGATTTCTCTCGGTATTTTTGACAACACCAGCGATGTCGCACGCTGAACAAACCTATCCGCCACATCTAGAAACTCTGATAATTATATACAAAAAGTTTTTCAAAGGTATTTATTTTTTCCTATCGCTGTAACCATTTGACTGTAATCTATCTATTTTCCAAGGCAGTCAAAGCATTATAAAAAAATGAGGTACAACTCAACTATATCACATTTTATAATACACTAGTGCCTATTCTGTTCGAATATTCCTTTTCATTAAAATTGCCGCAATCTTACGCTGATCTCAAATTCTTGTCGATGATTTATTAACACTTTAACTTTAATTAAAAAGAAATATTACCATTGCACGAATATCATGGCTTCAATAAACAAGACGTTAATAAATTATCTTAAAATCTTAATATTAAAAGGGTTCTTTGTATACATGTTTATTTATGAACCAGCCCAGTTTATGGGTTCTGAAAATCGTCACAGGAATATGGTTCCGGTAATAAATGTAATCCAATGTGAGCAAGAACTTTAAAGGGCGAGCTTATAATTTCTATATATTATTCCTATATGGAAAAACTAAAGCTAAAAGATCTAAATCAGATCTAAATGGAATAATAAGACTTAGTTTACGCGATTATCTGCCTGTTTAGTTTTAAATAGCAACTTTTTTTACTTTCTAGGTTAGATAAAAGACAGTAAGACACTGTATCAAGGAGGATTCGTTATTTGCTTTTGATATTATATCTTCACATCACTAAGTAACTATAAGGGACTATGACTTAAAGCCAGCAAGGTTACTTTTTTCATAGGTCGCTTAAATTATCCATTCGTTACTGCTTATAGGTTTCAAAATTTATGAATTTATAGAACTTTCAAACGGCTTGTTCATCATCATCATCATCATCATCATCAACAGCCCATACCAGTCCACTGCTGGACATAGGCCTCTCCTTAGAAAGGAGGTTTTGGCCTACTATACCACGCTGGCCAGACGGGTTGGTATAGGGTTTGTTTCAAGTTTTCCTTCTCTCTGCAGTGTTGTTGTCCTGCGTAGTTTTCTCCCTTAGTCGCCTCTTACGACACCCACGGGATGAATAGGGGTGGTGACACTCTGTATTCTTAATCCGTCACCACACGGACAGCTTGTTCATATAAGCATAGTTTTTTCATTGGACCTTTAGATAGATAGATAGATAGATAGAATGTGGAATTACAAATATGGAACTAAACTAATTTGAGGGGTATGCCAGGAGCACTCAGCTTGCAGTGAGTATTGGCTTATAATTTACTCCCATGTGATAAACACTATTTACATGCTTACAGTGTGCAAAAGAGTTTTTTTTTACAAACTCAAATTATTCAGCTAAAGCCGCCACATTGTCGCCGTACATAGAAATTCTATATTAACAAGACAGAGCTATACTAAAACATCTGGCAGAGTGCCCGAGTGAAATACCTATATAAGCTGTCATTGCCCTGTTACAAGGCTGAGTTTCTAATACTCTCAATAACATCTATTGATTCGTATGAATATTATGTTCCTTAAGAAGCTCACATCATTCTCGCACATATTGTCACCATCAGGATGCATTATGTTAGTCTGGCAGAATTAACTGCAAGGACCTCGTGTCTGAATTTCTTGGGAGTCAGAACACAGTCTGTTTAAAAAGATTTAAAACGTAATTGTAAGTAGCACGGGGAATAATTCAGTTGTAGTAGTTGTAGTAACTCATTAAATCGTTGAGGAGGGATCGGTTTTTTTAAACATGTAGACAAAATCGCTAATGCAATTAAAAATCTAAAACTAGAGCTTTGCTCGAATGTTATACTTTTTTTAACGTTGAGTTAAGGCAAGTCGATAAAGAAATCATGTATCTATCAAAAAATTATAATTTATGTTTAAAAGGTTGGACATAAGTCGCTCTTTTCAAAAGAGAGGCTTATGTCCAGCAGTGGACTATTAAAAGCTGTTGATGATGATGATGATGATGAGATTGCAAGTAGTAAGTTAATACGTACCAGGTACAAATTTACCCCATACTCTCAAAGCAGGTAGGACAGTGAATGGCATAGCCCAGAACCACGTGAATCCAATAAGAATACCAGCTTGTACTTTGTTTATTCTTCCATCCAAGGGACATGAAATTGTCCTGTTAAGTAAATTATAATAATGTTAGTTAACAGGTAAAGCATAGACTAGCTGATAGTTACTACGTACAAAAGTACTAATTCCTACAAAATTTGCTCTTTGGTCATTGAAATTGAATAAGAACAATAACCGATCTTAGAAATATAAGTACTTTTATCACATTAGAAACGTACTTCAGATTAATCGAAATATTTTTATATTTCACAGAAATTTAGACAATCATGACCGCAGAGAAGATTTGGATTCTCCTCTGAGAATGCAACACAAGTTTATTTTGGTTTTAATTTAAAGGACCGCCGTCCTTAATCGTGACTGCTGGTTTACAGCGTCAGTTTAATAAAGGATTAACCAACTAACAGGCTATTAAAGTAATGTATATTGTTAAACATTAAAAAATCAGCGCCCTAGAAGCGTATCGTGTAGACTTACTAGTAGCAGTAGTAGGTTTAATAATGAATAACCTAAATATTAACTAATAGGTCTAGATTATATTCAATATTTCGGCAAATATTCAACGTTAATTATGTTCAGAAAGATTACCACTCATTTGACAAACAATATTTAGGAACACAATATAAAAATAACAATAATACATAATAGTATTTTTATAGTCATGGAGGTATTTCAATAAATTATTAACATAGAAAAGGAGAAGCGAAATGGTCAAAAAGATGTCCTTAAATACATCATCATCATAATTTTCCTGCTCTTTTGCCCAATTTTATTTGGAGCGGGCGCTTATGTAATATACTAAAACATTTTGGTGGTTAGCTGGCCTTCTTCTGTCTGACAACAACGTTGGGCGACATTTTTTTCAGACGGGATAATGTTTTTAGATGTACTGGGGTAACAAGCGAACTGGGCGAGGGGGCTGGAGTAATGGAATCTGCTAATTGAACTAAGAGTAGTAGCTCAAAAAGGTTGGGGTCGCGTAACTGCATGTCTGTCGTGTGACCTAAGACATTACTAAGATAGGTTTATCAATCGACATCAAATATCTTTAAGTATAGTTAAAATACAATATCGTACTTAATTTGCCTCTGATCAGAGATTCTGTGATTGCAACCAATAAACGTTTCGGATCTAAAAGTAGGCGTAACGACACTTGTAGGGCTTGCTAGCCTTCCTATAGCTATGACTACTCACTTATATCTATCAAACGCAATCATAGCGTTTGTGATAGCGCCGCCGATGCCGGACAGAGAACCGAGTACCCCGTAAATGTCACATCCTAGCTGATATCCCACGATGCGTTGGTAGAAGGAGTTGATGATTAATAGTGGCATTTCCAGCATCATCATTAGGTCGAATACGGCCAAGTTGATAATAAACATGTTGCTTGGGCTCCGGAGAGACTTTGACCTGAAAGATAGAAATAGGTTATGCGAGGTTAAAAACATAAAGTCACATAAAGGTCAGTATCATCATTAAACTATGGTACGTCGACAAAGTAATTGCCATGCTTTAAGCAGACAGCGTATAAATTAAATCTGAGGCGAATGTTGTGAGTTCAATATCTATAGTTTTCAACTATAGGAAATTCATGGTTCGGCGAGTTCATGGTGCGAGCTCAACCGGAGTGCTGTTGCGGCACGCCATGGATTTAGGGCCCTGTTTGTTAAGTGGTTTGTGATATTCTATGTGTTGAGACAGAGGTTTAATTCCCCCAGGGCAAATAATCGTGTAAAGATTATTTATAGTTGCTGGTTCTCTTGTACTAGATGTAATTTATCTTTAATCTATTTGTGCTTAATAATGTAATGTATTAGCAAAATGGCTTCAATAGTATCTTATGTTGCCTTAAGGCTATATCTAGTTTGGAAACTTATGCATTTTATAAAAACATTTATATTCCATTACGAGTATAATGAATAAAAATCGATATCTGTAAGATCCGACGGTCACTAGAATAATTAATGGAGTTTAGACAATAGCTATTGTACCTACAAATCGTCCGTTTAGGCATAAATTACAAACAATGAACAAGATTGTTTTTGTTGATTGTATCCTTTTTCGTGTTCAGTTCCAATTAGCCGTTTACGGATAGTCATTAATAAAGGATATTGACGCTGCTTGGGAAGATATTAAGGTTAATTCAAGTCCATATTTCGTGCGATATATTTTATTCCTTGCGCATGTCGGCGGTGATTGATATGTGTGAGGCTATTATTATAATCTCTAACAGCAGTAAGATCATAGTTGATAGTATGTATTCTGGACCATGATATTAGCCTGGACACTATGACAGAATACGAAATAGACCTTGTCAAATCCTCGACATGATGTAGGCCGGGGTTTGGGTAATATGGCAGTTGTCTACGTAGCCTACAGATATCGGGTGTAAACATACAAATCTAGGTTACACTAGATCAGAAATTATAGTTCACGCAAATACTAAACAAGATAGATAGATATTCATCAAAAGTATAATAATAATAATCCATACTAATATTATACATACGAAAGTGTGTCCGTCTTTCTTTCTCTCTGTCTGCCTGTCTGTCTGTCAGTTACCTCTTTACGCTTATACAGCTGAACCGATTTAAATGAAATTTCTTATAGAGATAGTTTGAGTCCCGGGAAAGGACAAAGGATAGTTTTTATCCCAGAAATCATTCTTCAAGAGGGTGAAAAGGGCGTATAAGTTTGTATGAGGAATCAATAATCGCTGAACCCATTAAGCTGAAATTTTATATGGAGATAGTTTGATTCATGAGGAAGGACATAGGCTACTCACTACCGACATACATGCGGGTGCAGCCGTTAAGCGCTTAAAAGCTAGTTTAGTATAAAATCATTCAAATTAATATACGAATTAATTAAGGACTGCTCTACTGTTGCGTTTTGCATAAAAGATGTAGCATTTATACAACAAGAAAACAAAATAGTTTACCTACTGCCACTTTTCAGAGATTTGCAATTCTATTTTTTAAACTTTGTGTATAGAAAATCATAGTAAACTATAAGTATTCGTATATTTCAAATTAACTAATAAGAAGTCTCTAGAATAAAACCAGATTCAGCAGTAAACTGAATAATACTTCGTATTTTCTTTTCATATTTTCTTACAAGAATATAACATTGGAAGTATGATAGTAACTTCAAGAAATACAGTCCCCTTTGCTTTCAAAGATAACGGTTGTTATAAATTTATTCCCTCTGGGGGCGCGACAATCGATGCAGACGTACTCAACTGCTTTAAACTTGGAGTCCATCGAGTTTTACAACTTATGTGGGACAGGTCGTGGTTGAACTTCATGATAATGGAATAGAATGAACAATAGACGATCATCGCTTATTTTGAAAATAGAATAAAAAAGACAGTTAAATTGAATGAAAAATAATTGAATGTATTTTTTCAATTGCAATTTAAATTTAAATGTTCTATCGTTTTGTCTATCACATTACTTGACAAAAAACATTATTTTATTATTTATGGTTAAAACACAATCAAATAAATATGTGCTTAACAGATTGGTTCAAATTTTCAATATTTTTAATTGTATGAACTCTAGACCGCGGGTTTGATTTATATAAAGTGATTTTAACATATTTTTTACAGTTTAGAGAGTTATGTTTTATAAAAGTACTGACGGATTAGCCGCTAATAATATTTAACATCAACAACCAAACAAAAACAATGTTAGAGGGGAAAATCTCACAATATGTTACAAGGTAGCAAAAAGATAGGGCCGAAACGAATTTTTGTAGTTGACGGATTAAGTTTTTGTAGGGGAAAAAATAGTCTTTAGGCATATACTACGTAGGTCGTAGAACAACAATGATTTTTATAACACCCCAAATTATTCAAATAAAGGATAACGGCAAATAAAGGTTTTGGTTAGTGACATTTTTTTTAATTAATAACTACATCTAACGGAAGATCAGATTGTTAAGGACTATTTTTTGTTTAAAACAGAAAAGACAAATGTGTCGCGGGGGATTTTACAGATACACATGAATCGGACACAAAGAACACCCAGACTCAGGACAACAATTTGTGGATCACATAAAGTGTAGTCCCATGTGGGGATCGGACCCACAGCACTTAGCGTAGTAGTAAGCGGCGTGGTGACCGCTTAAACCACTACGCCATCCGTGCAGTTAGATATTAACTGTATAAAGTGTACTGTATTGTAGTACTGCAGAGCCAGTGCGGATCTCACTTGAATGAGCATGCTTGGGACGAGCTCGGTGAATGTGCGCAATAACAAAATCCTCTCACGATCAGACTTCATGAGCTCAAACTTAGCAGGGTAATGGAACAATATTCCAGAAGTTCAATTCTCTTCATAAAAAAAGAAAATTAGTTAAGTATTTCTACGACTTGCTGAATACTAATTCAACTTTCGGTCACAACGGTCGGAACCGAATTTTGAACGAATTTTTATTACGAGAATTGTCCTTCTAAATATCGTATCAGTAACTTGGTATGGCATGCTGTCCAAACCAGTACAGGATATACAACACGAAATTATGTAGTAATTGTAATTTTCTTCTTCAAATAGGCATGTACTACTCACAAAAACGCTTATTTCTCTAAAAATTTTAGTGTTGATCGGCAACTCACTTACTGGGCAACTCACTAGGTAATACTACTATTTTACTTGTAATATGAATCGCTTAAAAACCATGAAGAATAGAATATTGCTAAACCGACAAGTACCCAGATTTATAAATCGAGGTAAATTTTTTTGAACATATAATAAGGTCAACATCGCAAACAAATGAATAATATATAAAAAAAAAATACAAATCAACATTCTAACAAAAAAGGAACACGATTTTTTACTTAAACATTTTTTTATCCTAATATAGCATTCTGAAATTCAAATAAAGAAATATATTATACACAAAAGGGCCTAAACAATGATTAAAAACAAAAACAGTAGAGATAAAACGTGGCAATCGTAATCGAAGTCTGCTCGCTTCGTATCAGGAGCAAAGTTCTAAACCGCTCCTCTTCAACAGTTCGGAAAACGTTTCCGATGTTCTACCGCCAACGTTTTTTCTGGTAGGCTGGTGTACCAGTTTCATGCGATAAATTGTTAAAATGTATATTGCATATGTAGCCTAACTAGGCCTGGATTGCACTGTAAAAGTAACAAAAAGAAAGTATAAAAGTATTCTATCAGTCAATCTAGCTTTCATAGTACAAGTTCTCCTTAGTTTAAAACTTTGTATGTCAGATGTCCGAAATATTATTATTATTACTGTTTGTCGTATTCGAAATTTCGAAACTTGTTTTAAGAATACTTAAATTGAAGATGACATTGTTTCTCACAAAAACTGAATATTCACTTACACGAGAAATCGAAATACTTCGATATTATGTAAACTGAGGACGCGTAAGAGCTAATTATTATTTTATCGTTCGATTTCAACAATGATCTTAGGTATTTTGCATCATTGCTCTGCACATGCATTATTAAATGAGTTCTAGAAGCACAAATTGTAATTATTGTGTTATTGTTGTTAGCCAAATGCATTGGTAAATTGGTTGAAATACTTGTTGTGTGCCTGCAAAAAGTGTTGGCCTTCTAACGGGGCTTTGTTTAATGTATTCAACATTGAAATGAAACAATTCAAACCTTGGCCATTAAGATAACATTTACCTACAGCTGCTTTTTGTAATGACCATTTGTGTTATATTATAAATTACTAGCTGACCCGCGCAACTTTGTATGCGTTTCTCAAACGGAATGAATTTTCCCCGTTTTTGCAACCTTTTTCATTGATGCTGTTATTTGTGATAAACCTGATATTATAGAGACGAAAGCTTCCCAGATAAATGGACTGTAAAGCACTACAAGAATTTTTCAATTCGAACTAGTGGTTTCTGAGATTTGTGCATTCAATCGAACAAACAAATACACAAAGTCTTTAGCTTTATAATATTAGTATAGGTAACAAAAAATAATTTAAGATTTTAGTTATAGTTTTTATATCGCGTAGCTTTAGTTATCAACATTCTTTTATTTTTCTTGGTCGCTTTACTTCCTATCTGTGTCATTGTGCGGGTGCTCGCAGATATTAGGTCTTCGTCATGTTATTATATACGTACATTCATGCCCTGGAAACATTCCATCTATGCTTTTAAAAGTTTAACCGCTACAGGAGAATCATATACTATTTTAAATAGTAAATTAAGTTGATATTGATAGTAAAATTGCAATCAAATTGCTGATTTGTATATTTTACTAGCTGACCCGCGCAACTTCGTCTGCGTCTCTCAATAGTAATAAATTTTCTCCGTTTTTGAAACATTCTTCATTGGTGCTCCGCTCCTATTGGTCTTAGCGTGATGATATATAGCCTATAGCCTTCCTCGATAAATGGGCTATCTAACACTGAAAGAATTTTTTAAATCGGACCAGTAGTTCCTGAGATTAGCGCGTTCAAACAAACAAACAAACAAACTCTTCAGCTTTATAATATTAGTACAGATGATTAGTGAACATATCTTCACAGTGAGCTGATTCGACTTTTTGTCCCAAAAAACTATTGCCGCGGCAGAGGCCACCGACTTTTAGCCGCACCCTGCTATTACCTTGTTATTGAAGAATGGATAGAGTTAGAGTATCCCTCAATCACTACAAATGTATTTAGTTTACTTTTAAAGAACCTCAATTCAATCGTTCAAAACCATTTCCTGGCTGAACAGAGATGTTAGTGAGACCCGGTTGACCGGCTCATAAAGAATCCAGAGACAGGGAAAATGCGCGGAACCGTGCTTAAGAGTTTTTTTTCCTAGAGACCCACTGTGACCTTTCCTGTAGTTTCAAGGCCACCGTGGTAGCTTCGTTCGGCAAAAGTTCGGACCTAAACTATATGTAAGTTAATTTATAACGATTTCCTCGATTTCAAAATTCGGAATGTAAAATGCAATGGATAATTTCTATTTTTTCAATATCAATTAAATAATTTGATACATAACCTGTTCATTCATTTAATATATCGTATCCGTGTGGTGACGGATTGAGAATACGGACTGTCACCACCCCTATTCATCCCGTGGGTGCCGTGAGAGCCGATTAACGGAGCAAAGAGAAGGAAAACTTGAAACAAACCCTATACCAACGCGCCTGGCCAGCAGGTATAGTAAGCCTAAAGCCCCTTTCTAAGGTGAGGCCTATGTCCAGCAGTGGACTATTAAAGGCTGTTGATCATGATGATTCATTTAATGTGACACGATAACTAAACGTTAACACGTACTCAACTAAATGAACCGTGATCGTTTAGTTTTACTAATCGCTTTAACTTAAACGTGAAATTAAACAGGATATTAAGCCCCTTGTTTGTCACCGCCGCCGATTGAAAATTAGAGGCACTCTCATCTTGGTGCGTTCAGAAACTTAATTAAATCACTGTCAAGTGACGTCAGGGTACTTGAAGCGCCAAATTGTTCTACGTTATTAAGTAACGGTAAATAGGTTTTTACGTTATAATTGACTAGAAGAGGGTCATCTTGAGCTTATATTAAAGAAAAACTTCTTTTTTGATTTTGTGTCTCCAAGGAAATCAAGATTTCCTTACTAATGTTATAAATACGAACGTAATATTGTTTGTTTGTTTCACGCGTCGAGTTAATTGATCCTGATACAAGAACCCAGGAATTAAAAACATTAAAGGTACATTTTATCCTGAAAACTAAAGTAATGGCACTTTAAAGCAAATAAAATCACGGACTGTTTTCTTAAGTTCCTAATCATTTTATCTAAAACTAGGTTATGGTAGTTTTAGAAAAAAATGATAATTTATACGCCACACTGTTTTATTCTACTTCCAATCTGTGGCTTGAGTTATATTAAGCGGTTTTAATAAGTCCTTGCTACGTTATCAGTATTTTTTCACTTAACCTCCTTATTGCTAATTCCCGATATGCATGCAATGCTTACAAATTGTTTAAAGTAGTATATTTTACTAGAAAAAACTGTTAAAAGAATGTAGTTGTAGACATGTCTTGAATAGATCGGATACGTACGATGCTATGGCGTCAATTGAGACAATTATCAGTGGTTTATAAATGCAGGTCCAAAATTATAACTAACTAGCTGGTACCCGCGACTTCGTTTGCGTGTAATTTGAAAACCGCTGCCTTAGTGGTGTAGTGCGGTATGCGGCTGCAGTCTTTAAGGCCTCGGGTCCGATTTCCGTAACGGGCAACATTTAATAGGGTTTTTTTCAGAGAGGAAAAAAAGCCTAAGTTACTCCTTATATAGACAGCTACCTTGTAGTAAAATATTTAGAAAATCACTCCAGCCGTTTTGAAGACGGGTAATCTTCACTTTTCTTTCTTCAAACTTCTTCTTTGTAACAAACAGACGGACAAAAAATATTTAAACTGGTTTTTAGGCATATGTATCGTGAAAATAAAATTTATTATGTTGACATTACAAACAGACACTTTAATATTTTTATTTGTATAGATTAACTAGCTGTACCCTGCCAAGCTCCGCCGTGGCATATTGAGGTGGCATTGAGGAATAAAACTGACACCAAAAATAGGTAAAAAATTGTAGAGGGTTGTATATTGTGTCAAAATTTAAGCACAATGGGTGTAGAACTTTTTGAGTTTTTGAAGTGTAGACAAACCAACTTAACATTTTTATATATTTCGATACTATAATTAATAACGATTGCCACATCGTCGAACTTGAAGACAAAAGAGATTTATTTACGGTAGATAATATGTAACAACGACATTGTATGTGTCGACAATTAGTAGTAACACACCTACTGCTATTTGTCAACAAATCTATTTAGTTTAAGATCGTGAGGTTACAAATCCTCTCGTATTTCTGCCAGACACCATATCGGTTAATCGCTAACAGCTTGTAGAACAATACATGCTAAAGTTACATTGTCCCTGAAGATTATATTATTTCCTTCCGATAACATTGTATAGAACGAGTTCTTTTGATTTTGTTTATGTGTAACAAGACCTAACAACAAACCTCTTATCAGAATATTATCGAATCTTCCATCAGTATGTTTTTATTGTTCCATTTTTCTTTCATAAAAACGATTTACTTAATTCTTTTCGTTCGCTCTTTACCCCGGGGGACAAGAATGTGTCGATTGTGAGAAATTATACTGTAATGTAGTTGATTTATCATTGGAGTGTACAATATGTGTTCAACAAACTGTTAACATTTATCGCTAACTGCTCTGATAAATTAAATTTATTGTACTTATGATTTCTATATGTTTAAACATGTTGTGCAGAAATTGTTTAATTCACAATCTGGTTAAATTAATTCTGGCAATTATGTTTCAAAAATTACCTCTATTAATTAATATTAATTAGCACGCTTAATAATTATTTTCTGCTAGGTCGAAGGCGCCTGTGATTACGTCAATTAGTAATGATTTATATATCATGGAACGTGAAAGTTAGTAAAATTCCATGTATTCATAGTAAAAAAAACATTTAGTAGTTATGATGAAAATTTGATATCTAATTATCTATACCTAATTAGTTATACGTAAAACAAATAATTTGTACTTTAATTTATTCCCATGTGTCGATTGGATTATTTCTGTGTGTTTTCGCTAATATAAAGAAAAACACGAGTAAATTTGAAGTCCCTTCAAAAAAAAAAACCTCTAAAAGTTTACTTAGATGAAGACCAGAGATACAAAACATTAAAATAAAACGTTATTAAAGTAATTTCCTCACAGCGATAAGTGAAAAGAAGAAAAGAAACAGGAAAACCTTAAATGCTTGGCTGTAAGGATAATCCTGGATTGCCGTGATGATTCTCTATGATCCCTGCATACAATTGACTATATGTTTGTTTGTATTTAATGACGTGATTAAATTATTCTCTTTACATTTTGGATTTTTACAAATGCTAACTCTAAACGATAATATACGAGTATTATCATAATAAAAAGTCAATAACGTTAATTATAGTTGACGGGACAATTGGTTAGATTTACGATCCTGATTGCTAAGCGAGCGAGAGCGAGAGTCGTGGGTTCGATTCCAACTCAGTTCAAATATTGTGTGATGAGCACGATCATTTGATTTGAGTCTGGATGTAATTTATCTAAAGGTATCATCACCATCAACAGCCTTTAAACATAGGCCTCTCCTTAAAAAAGAGGTTTGTGCCTAGTACACCACGCTAGTCAGCGTGATAATATGCCGGCTGGGTTATGGCAATTAGCTTGTCCCCTACTACATCAGAAGGACTAAAACCATATTTGAAAAAAATCTGGGCGTTTTAATAAGTCTTTGTCTACCAGTTCAGCAGTAAAGACGTGAGTGTATGTATGATATTTATAGTAATTAACTTACGTGCTAAATATCCAAATGACGATCCCATTACCGGTGAGCGATGTGATCATCAACATGGTATAGATGAGTGCCAGGCAGAAGTGCCAATACTTGCTGACAGCGGGGAAGTTCCTCCAGTGATCGTGGACTAGATCCTGATGTTCCTCGGGGATGTTCCAACCTAGCATGTGCTCTACGACCTCCTTTGATACCCTGTAGCAAAAAATGCGTTTAAAACTTGTCAAAGACATGAATTTTATGATTATTCGAATTCGTATATTCAAATAAGCTCCTTTGACTGAAAATATTTTAAATATTGTCGAAATTATGTTTCTTCAGAAAAATTATGCAGAAAAAATAAGTATTAAAAAAGAATTAATTCCCCCATTCACACTTCCCTTTTGTCACAATCTCAGTAGTGAAAGGCTAAAAACCTACTAAAATAATCATGTATCTAATACTTTACCGAAATGTTCAGTATGTAAGAATTTGTTATTTACCATAATACTCTTAAAAAAATAAAAATATTCTAATAATTTAAATACAATTCCAATGTTTAAGATTCAAAAAGTAACAATGAACATAGTAACATCTAAGAGAAATATTTCAAAAAGAAAATTTTTACAAAAATGTAATTCAGGCTTGGAGTTGGTAGCTACGCATTACCATAAAAATGTTTTATGAAGTTATTACTTCGAGAATGTTATTGAAATGGAACAAGTTTCACTAATTAGTTGGACTGAAAAATATTTCAAAAGGTAAAAACTAATTTGTTAAGTATCTTATCGACATTTGAGTAAAGTAATTTAATGTATTTTAAAAGAAAAGCGAGAGTATTTTATTTAAATTCCTTAAATAAAGTATTGCAAATTAGTTAATGAAAGCGATACGAACATTTTTAATGGATAGGCCAAGGGTCCGATGTCGTCGGTGTAATTTATCGCCATTTTGGGACCGTGTTTAGCAAAATGGCGAATAGGAAATTGCTTTTATTAATTGACTATAGCTTCATGGATTTTATGTACTTTGTTGAGATCTTATTTATAAAATAAAATGATTTTATGACGAAGTGAGTAGTCCGACTTCTAGTCGCTTCTCACTTGTGGTGTGTTGAGGGTGAAACACAGTTATATATCGTTCCAAATAGTGCGTGATCGTTAATTACTTAATTCAATAAAAGAGTAAAGCTTCTTATTTATTTGGTCAAGCGTGAAACACATTAATGCCATTAGTTCTCAATCTGTTTCTTTTATTGTTCTGATTTATTCGTTTTATAGTTGAGAATAGGATAACTGTTTTTTAATCATAGTTTTTTTAAATATATTTTCAGTGACATTTTAGGTACACATCACAAACCATTAATAGTCTATTCTTAGACATAGGCCTCTCTTTAGAAAGAAGGTTTTGGCCTACTATACCACGATGGCTAGACAGATTTTAAGTACCTATTTGAATATTTTAAGGAATTCACTAGACAGAAAATTTGACCGTGGTATCGGGGATATAAATACCCTCTTAGTTACCATAAAAAAAGTATTATAATGTTGGGAATTATGTGTCCAACTTTAAGCATCTGTTTAAACATAAGGCCATTTATTGATTTAAGAATCTAATCGGTCAATATAAGAAGAAAATTTTTTTCTTTCTCTAAATACAATCAAAAAAGTCAATGACTATTCAAAGAGGACAGTAACAGCCTGAAAACGTACTATATTCCCATTACTGAACTAGAATAAGGCGTTTTTATTCAAACGCGTACATAATGGAGACGGGTTCACGATGTCTCGCTGGGAATCCTCGCGTCATCGAGGACAACGTGTCCGGAATTCAACCCTATTATAAGTAGCCCGGTAGTTAATCGGGAAATATAGTTGGTGAGTGGAATTTGTGTTCGAGGCATGAACTTGCGAAAATATTTGGCGACTAAAATATTTTTTTTCGAAGCAACAAAAAGATGTTCAAGACTGACTTGTTCGATGATCTTCCTGAAGTGCCCGGTTGAGGACAATATCCTGTCTTCCTCGCCTCCTTTCCCATCACGAGGAACAAATTTTAATTATTGTTGTTAGATGGATGTTCGCCCCCCTCCCCCCCCTTCGGGGTACAGGTGTTATAATTTTATTCATTCGTTTCTTACATTCTACCTTTTCTGATGTAAATATTTTCATTTAGGTGCTTTAATAGTTATAATTGAAATACGAAAAGAAATGAGATAAATGTAATCAAATACAATAAATTAATTAACATTTTAAGAGGAATTAGAATACAATCAATTAATTGACATACATAGATAATAGTAGAATTAATTAACATCCACAAAATATATTTGAACAATACAAGGAATTAAATAGAACAAAATCAAAAACAAATCTAATGTCCAACATTTTCAGTCAAATCGCTCATTCAGAAAGTCATTTACGGAGTAGTAACGCTTTTGTAAAAGGAATTCTAAGACTCTGCGACGAACGATTTAAAAATTTCAGGCAACTTATTGTAATTGCGAATGTACATACAATACACATTAATGGAACATATTTTTAAATTTTGACTAGGAACAAGGAGCTTATAACTTCTTTTAACTGATCTGCTGGTAACATTTTTACGGAGTTCAAATTGATGTGTGTACAAAGACACAAAATTGAAATATATATGAAGCTGGGAGCGTTAGTATTTTATTTTGTTTGAACAAAGGAACACAACTGTCTAAAGGCTGCGCTGTGCAGATCGCACGTATGCATTTTTTGTGCCCGAAAGGCTCTACTTACATCAACAGAACTACCCCGCACTATTAAATCGTACCGCAATACTGATGAGACGTAACTATGATACGTGCAAAGTGCTGCTTCAACACCGGCTACCCGCGTAATTTTGTACAGAACGTATACAAATCTATATTTTAGAACAAATAGCATCAATGTGTGCCTTCCAATTGCAATTTTATCGATTATTACACCATGAAATTTTGTTTTGTTTACTTCCTTCCTTCCTTGTTTACTTGCAGTTTTGGAAGTTTACTATTATAAGTAAGTAAGTAAGTATTACTGAAATTGAACCATTTTCATTTTGCTAAAATATTTTTAGTTTATTTGACTTTAACCACGCCATCACTCTATTCAATGACAAATTGATCTCCTCTTGGTAATCTAAGTAATTTTATTTGTAGATTTAATAGTGATAGTAGTATCATCAGCATAAAAAATATACTTGTGTGGAATTACTTCGGGTAACTCATTTATGTAAAGTGAGAACAAAAGAGGTCCCAATATGCTACCTTGGGGTAGACCACATTTGTTTTGACGATACAAGGATCTATATATATATAGTTTTCTTGGTGTCCAGATGATCTCGAAATTTCCACACATTGCTGTCTATTGGTTAAATAACTTTTAATCCATTCGAGGGCATTTCCCCTAATACCATATCGACTCAGTTTGTTTAAAAGCAGTGCGTGATCCACAAAGTCGAAAGCCTTTGACATGTCTAAGAATGGTGATGCGACAGGTGTATTATCGTTTAAATTAGTCTTAATTAGTTTCATAAGACTAAAGCAAGCTAAGGAGGTTGACCTATATTTCTAAAGCCGAATTGTTCCTCACTCAGAATATTAAACTAAGTTATGAATGAGAAAAGCTTTACATACATAACCTATTCAAAAATCTTAGAAAGTATAGGAATTAGAGTGATTATTATTCATATCACTTTTATCGCCTTTTCTATGCAGTGGTTTTGCAATAGAAAATTTTAGTCTTGATAGGTAAACCCCTTCAGAAAATAAAAGATTTAAGGCAGTAGCCAAATATTTAGAATATCTTTTGAGTATTTTAGTGTTAATGTCATCGAATCCAGTTGAACTAAATAAATTTAAAGAATTAATAATGTTGTTTACATATATGTCATCGGTTGGCGTCAAATAAATACTATTAGATATCGCAGTCCCCGACGAACACTATGGTAATCGCTATTACGATAGAATCGGGTTTATTAGATATTCGTTATCTACACACCCTATTACAATCATTGAATTTTTTTTATGATCGGGCGATGAATACTTTTGGATTTATCCATTCAATAATGATCTTTATGTTTTTGTTCGATGTATAACATGAGTGAAAAATTTACACGATCAATAACGCAAAAACCTATTACCAAATCTCAAAAGTCAACATTTTAGAGTAAGCGGCTATTACCATATTGTTCGAGGGAAAAATGACAGAATCAGAATCAGAATTTATACATAGGTACCGAAATTGTTATAACACCTAAAAATGATCATCGAATAAGCATGTAATTTATGTTTACCGTAATATTAAAGTCAGTTATATCATCGAATACGATTGCAATGTCATTTTACGAATATAAAGTATATTCATATTTACCATGGAACAATATCATAATGAACGATTACTACAGCAACACCGATTTGTGATTACAGTCGAACACTATCGTAAAGTTAGTTTGCGTTAATTTTTTCCATAGCTTATTTCAGTAATGGACATTTTCACAATTTTCTTACTGATAAAGAAAATTTATGATAAAAATTTAGTAAAAATCTAGTGGAAAAAAATATTTCCTTATTTTTGATAAAAGAATCTTCTTTTTAGTCTTGATAGTATTCAAGATATTCAGTTTTTATTTGCTCCTGTAAAATTGTTATTTTCCTATTACGATTTTGTTCGTCGGGGACTGCGATATATAGGGCAGAATAGATATATGTAAATTATTTGAAATAGCATTAGAGTTGGCAAAAGAAAAAAATAGCATTAATTTGTCATGTCTATAAAGAAATTATTAAATGCATAAGCTATCATGTCAGGTTTGCAATAAGTACTTCCATTATAAGTTACATTTGGAACGTCTTGTGAATTACTGTCGGTCACTACACTACACTTATTTTTTCATTTAGCTAGAACACGTGTGTTATCGTTTTTCTGAGATTCTGTTATAATTGTTGGATCATTTTAGTCCATACTTTTTGTTGGAAAGTGACCGTCTGTACTTAAGATACAAAAGTCGCTTATTAACACAACATATTTTTAGGCCCTTAGTAATCCATTTGTTGTTTAAAGGTATATTAGTAATTTTTACGGTAAGTAGTAAAGTTTAAGTTTAAGTACGGAAAAACATAAATTATAAAATAGTGTTAGAAGTTGTGAAAACAATTAACCCAGATCTTCACATCTCAGCCCATACATGTAACAATAACCTCTCAAAAATATGTGAATGCCCTAAATTGAAAAAGGTTGACTCGATTAAGTATCTTGGTATAGTTATTGATAAAAATTTAAATTATAATATACACATCGACCTATTAACAAAACGTGTTAGGAAACTCATATATATCTTTAAGAACCTACGAGGCGTTGCCGACGAGAAGGTGCTTCGGACTACGTACCTTGCACTATGTCAATCCTTACTGACATATTGTGTTACTGTATGGGGAGGAGCCTCAAAAACCCATATGATAAAATTAGAACGTGCACAAAGAGCAGTCCTCAAAGTTGCACATTGCCTTCCTTTTTTTCATTCAACAAACGAACTCTACGTGAAATGCAAGGTACTAACGGTCCGTCAACTCTTCGTCCTCAACACTATACTGCGAAAACACTTAGAGATAATCTATCAACCTACTTTACAGGCTCACAAACGAATTAAAACTAAAGTTTGCCCTAAAATATTATGTAAACGCAGCTACATTTTCCTAGGTAATTATTTATATAACAAACTCAATTCTATCCTTAATTTACATCCTTTAACCAGGGTTAAATGTAAGCTAGTACTTACTTCACATCTTTTAGAATACAACTACGAATCTACTGAAAAATTACTAACTATCGCAAAATAAAACCTAAGCTCTTAAAGTAATACTCGCACACACTCATACACAAACATACACACACACACATACACGAACATACACACATACACAAATATACACACACCCATATAC